AGCTAAAGAACACAGATATATTTTTTTCTGGAATGTTTACTTAGCATTCCCAAAATCAATAATAATATAAAGAAATCAGTGAGAAATTGACATTCTTTGACTGGGAATATATACGATTCTCAGTGCAGGTGAATCATTTTAAATTCAAACGGAAGAAACATCAATAGAACAAACGTTTCATAGCATCTATTATCTACTTATGTGAGAAGAAATATGTGTGCGTGTTTGAAAAAAAAACCCCAGTGGAATAGTGCCTTAATCTATTACAGAGAAGCACAATTTTCTGTAACTTAATTTGCTAAGTTAATGAACCCAGTAAATTCACTTTGATGTCTTTTTCGGCTAATATGTTAGATCTAATTTATTTGGCAAAAATGGTCAAATTTCTTCGTAATTGAGTTTCTGCAAAACAAAAACAACTATGCATTGCTATGGCAAATGCGATTTGTATGCTTTGAGATAGGTAGCTGGCAATGGACACATAAGAGCTTCTAGCATCCACACCTTATTTTTATGTATTTAGGATTAACTTGGGTCATTAAGCACCTCTCCAGACTCAAGAATAACATGCAATAATCCCTAATTCCCTATCATACAGCAAACATGGGGCAGAACTGTAGGGCAAACTTGAACTTTCCAACCCTACATCAGCTTATTTTTATGTTGTAGGACATAAGAGACAAAGCTAAACAAAATGGGGGTTGATCTGTGGTATTTTAGATTTTTTTAATCATTTTGTATCAACAACTAGGCAACATCATTATTCTTTCTCCCAATGTGGCTGACTACAAAGGCGTTAAATCATATTTTAATGTTAATGAATTACACTTTATTATAAACAAGCTTTGTGATCTATCTTTTTGCCTAGCCAGGTATTTTCAGGTATTGTAATATCCAGCATGTATGCTCTCTAAAATGTATCATTGAATTTTGAAGCTTGTTGCTTTATAAAATAGCAATATTATGCTGACAACTACATGCTTTCGGTAGGCTCACTATCAGATGATATGGTCTAAAAATTGTTTAATCCCCTAATTTCACAAACCAAGCAACCAAAACAATTGTCAAGATGGGGGTTAATGATGAGGATGGGAATGAAATGATTAAGAGCTAATGGATTCCTGTAATAAATTACTACTACAGTAATGAGTACAGGAAAACTTTATTCTTTTGCTCAGCATTTGTTAGACATCCCAAATCTCAGTAAAAAAGAGTGGCAGATGTAAGCATATCTGTTAGACATGTGCACAGCATAAACATTTGTTTTGGACAAATTGAATGAAAAAGGAAAAACCTTTTCATTCGTTTTGTTTGATGAAACAAATAATTATGTTTCGGGTTCGGAGGCAACAAACCTCTGAATAAGAAAGCGTACATTTAAAAAAAACAGAATGTGCAGCAGCCATATTGGCCACCGGTGCGTTCCGTGGATGTGTGCTGCCATCTTGGAGGTGGGGGCATGACTTCACATGATGCTGGCATCAGGCGATGTCTTACACATATATGGGTGTCGCCATCTTGGACGCTGCAAGATGGTGGTGCCTATACGAAAAAAATTACTATACTCTCAAATATATTTTTTGTATATTCAGGAATTTAATAGTTTGTTATTTCGGATTCAGATGAACCGCCGGATCAACTGAATTTTGTGATTCAGCAAGTTCATCTGAATCCAAATGCACATCTCTAATATCTGTTGACTGACTTAAATACCTTTGTCTAAAGGGTGACTGAAAGCTATACTGTATGAATGAGACTATGTTGTCAAATGTGGCCCGATATGTCAAATATGGCCTGATACTGCAGGTAGAGATGAATAATGAGACTATTAAAAGTCCTATTGATATAGTTATTTTTGCTTTTCCTGCAATGGAAAGCAACACCTAACAAATGTTCACCACAGACCTCTGCTCTTACTCATTGAAACATTATCATGCAGGACCTCCCTAAAACACTAACTAAGAATTTGTACAAGCAACACACAACATTTAGAAGAATTACAAGAGTTTATGTTGTTATAAAACACCTTATCAGCTGAACTTGCAACTCGCAGCCTGAATTGCCTTGCTGTACAATATGAGGACACTACATGACTGTAAAACCTCTCAAGGACATTGTAACCACACATTTTGAGGACATTGTTCCAACAGCATTTTCTGCAACATCATTGCAGCAAAGTCATGTAGCAAGCGGACCTGTTATTATGCTATCATTGACATATAAGCATTTTGTCATTTAACAATTAGTAAAACATATAATAATAATATTTTTTTTCAGGTCCCTCCTTTTATTTGTATGTCTGCATTTTTACCAGATCACTGCATGCCCCTGCAGATCGCCGCATGGCAGCACATTGAACCACACTGCCATGTAGGGACCTGAAAGGAGGGTACACATTGAATGGTTTGGCAAAGCGCCCAAGCAGCACCTATGGCATGTGCCCTGCCTGCCATGCCTCAGATACCCCACTGCTTGAGCAACAGAATTGTGAGGAAAGCTGTTGTAGATAATAATTATTGGATTGCACAATTCATCCTGTTCTGCAAATAAATGTATTATATTCACGTTGCACTTTTATTTTTCATTCTAGGAAAATATTTACTTCATACAAATGTAACTTTATCAGTAAACTAATAATGGTAAGCTTAAAAAACATAAATACACTTACAGCACTAGACTATGAGTCTGTAATAAAAGCACCAGTTTGCGTCTTTCAATCAAATGCTATACATGCTTTCTTCAGTATATTCAGCTGTCATGTACAGTAATGCATACGTCTGTCCAGACATTTTAAAAGCAAGCATCCATATCTCCTTCCATTTATCACTTTTTGCACTTTAAAGGGTAGTTCAGAAACAACTCTACAGCAGGTTCCAGGCTGACCACCTGGAATAACACTTCTATCTCAGGGTCAGTGGTCAACAAACAAGTCCGCTTTATTCTAGTGATCCCTGAGCATCTTCCAAGCAGATGTAAACTAAGTTACTGTCCCAAATGGCACACAAAAGGGAAAAGAAAGAACTATATGTGTCAAATACCATATTTAAAAATATACTTACATCTGCATTTAAGCTTTTATCTACATCAGGATTAGCAGTTGCTCTGATCTAAATTAAACTTATTAAAACCTATTCACTTATTTTAAACACTTTGTGTGTGTGCAAGGGAAAAACTGCCAGTGCATTATTTTCAATGTTTTATGGTTAGAAGCTATCAAATATCCATTGTAGGACCTATATGTATGAATATTTTGTTGGGCTGTTCTAATAAGTCAAAAAGTAACAACTTCAATTATGCTAGCAAAAGTGTGCCAATTTGATAAAAGGGCTGAATATGGAAAGACATGTTACAGCAGCAGCGAGCATAGTGCCAGCAAACACAGGGGTAGGTATATCTGCAATGGCGAGTGATGTTTGTGCATGCAAAGAGGTAGCATGCATAGTGGCCAAAACAAAAAGAAAGCGTGGGGTCCCCTCTAAAATCCCTACCAAACTCTGAATCCCCAGGAAAGGGGGGGGGCAAGCATGCACCCCCCCCTCCTGCACCATACCAGGCCACAACCACATGCCCTCGACATGCCCCATGTCAATGAGAACAAGGGCCTCTTCCTCACAACCCTGACCTGATGGTTGTGGGGGCCTGCCAGCAGGGGGGCTTTATAATAACAGCAACTTGGCTCCCAGATCTAAGTGGTATTTGGGAGTCTGAAGAGCATTCAAGGAACTCCCAAATGCTATTCGGGACTGGGAGTCAAGTTGTTGTTATTAATAATAACAAGGAACAAGTCCTGTGAAGTGATGACTCCTTCCGCCCCTTTGTTGACATTCAGGTCCAAAGCTGTCATTTTACGGGCGAGAGTTTGTTAGGATCGGACAGGAGTCAGGTTTTTTTCTTTCAGCGACTCGGCAGCCATTGTACATCAAGATTGACGTGGATCTACATCGCTGGACAAAGTGATTGAAAATGGATTACATTGATTGTCAAAAACTGTCTTGTGTTTTTTTAATAATAAAGGACCTTTTTTGCTGTGTTATCTGTTTATGTAATATTTTATTTACTATTTGCTGAATGAGTAGGGGTAACAACTACCCCATACTCATTCACAAGGGGGGCAGGATCTGGGTTCCCCTCTTTAGGAAAGAGTGCACCCAGATTCAGATAAGCCCCCCTTCCCGCAGACCTCCACAATCAAGGTTGTGAGGAAGAGGCCCTTGTCCTCAAAGACATGGGGACAAGGTGCTTTTCCAGGGGATGCCCCCTGGCAAAGCACCCTCCCCATGTTGAGGGCATGTGGCCTGGTATGGCGCAGGAGGGGGGGCACACACTCATCCCTCCCCCCTTTCCTGTTCTGCCAGGCTGTTGCTCAGATTAAGGGTCTGGAAGGAATTTTAGAGGGACCCTCTGCATTTTTTTTGCCGTTGGGGTACACCCTAAAATTCCCACCTAAAGGGTCTGGCATGAATGGGGGAACCCCACACTTTTTATTGTTTCTGTGGACTGTTAAAAAAATTATTATTTTTTCTAATATCACTTTGCTGCAACAAAAATTTGTTCGTAAATACTTCCGCATCCGAAATGAACTAAAATTGGGTATTTGTCCGAATCTAAATGCCAAACTACATTGACTTTTGAACCCGAATCCCGAAAAACAAAATAACTAAAAATCGGAAACAAAACAGCTTGCATGTCTGATGCCAAATACTAGCAGCAGTCCTCCTGGCCAGCAGCAGAGGTTGGGTGAGGGAGTTGGCTTTTAGAATTGGGGAGCATTATAAACCAATATAACATCTAAAGCGCAAGGGTCAAATCAGGCACTGAGTATAGAAGATGGTGAATTAAGGGTGTAAAAGGGGGCTTAAACCAGTCAGCATGGAAATGCCATTATCTACATCTAAAGCAGGGACTCCTGCAGAATTTGATTGCAATTCAAGAATGTGCTAAATACTTAATGCTAGCACACAATTAAAAGCTATCTATGCAAATGCTCGAAATCTAACAATATGGTGAGGCTAGAACTTCTGTTACTCAAGGAGGACTTCATCTTTGTGGGAAAATCCGAAACCTGGCTGGACAGGTCACATGACTTGGATGCAAATATTCAAGGGTACGCTCTGTTTCGGAGGGACAGGATTAGTAGGAGGGGTGTAGGGGTATGTCAATATGCCAAGAACAATTAGAAAGTAAATGTGAGAGTTTACATCACTAATGAAAGTTGTCAATGTGCAGAGTCTTTATGGCTGGAGCAACATATTAATTAAATTACTTGTAAACTGATTGTGGATGTTTGCTATGGGTCCCCAAACAAAAAGGATAAAGAGAGGACTCCTCCCACAGATTGCAATGGGTGGGAATCAGGATACAGTTATTATTTGGGGATAATTCAATTATCCCAATATCAATTGGGCACATGGAACCGTACACTCAACAGAGGCTTGCTGCTTTTTGAACTTATTGCAGCACAAATGATGGAAGTCCCAAGTAGGAAAAATGCTCTGTTAGATCTAATAAATGTAAATACATGGAGCTGGTTGCAGGCATAGATAGGGACAACTTGGATAACAGTGATCACAGGATGATTACATTTGTAGTAAATAACAGAAATAAAAATGCAAACTTCAAGCTCTGCTCCTTGCTGTAGGACAATGGCCCCAAACAATTTTGGCATAGTTGTCTAGGTTTCAGGATGATTCCAGTGCATTTATTGTGCAATTTATTTCTATTTTTATTACATTGTAATATACTGGAAAACCCATGTGCTTAGATCAGCTTTAAAATAATAACCTCCTCCCCCACTGTGAACTACAACAAGCCCAAAACAAGCTGTAAATGATCTGTTACCTAAATAATTGGCAGAAGTGTCTGCCTTACCATGCTATCAATCAGCCAGCTGGCCCCAGAACCGGCATCATTATTCTGTCCCTAATGCAGGGATGAGTTGACCTTACTATTATTAGTATCTATGCATATGAAATAACTGGCTTGTCCAGACAGACACACAGCAATACAAAATGGCAGACTCTGCATTACTGTAAAAGAGACCTGCTCTTTGCTATCTTCCAGCTCTCTGGCAGATTTCCTCACAGGTGCATCATCTCCACATCTCCTTCCCCTCAGATTGGCTCCCGCTCTGATGTCAGAGCCGAAGAGATCACTCTGCCGCTGCACCGTGGGTGGGTGGAGTGGTCTGATTCTGACAGAAGGCAGAGGCAGCTGCAACCCGGTTGCTGGCAGTATCGGTCCACGGGCCAAGGGTTGGGGACCCCTGCCGTAGGATACCAAATATTTCTAATAAAGAACACTGAGGACAGATTGGAGTGTTTAAAGAGTGTTTTAATAAAGACATTCACCAGTGTATCCCAAATATGAAAGAAGAAAAGTTAAACCTATGTGGCTAAATCAAAGGTTAAAAAAAATATAAATGACAAAAAAAACTGGCCTTTAAATAATATAGAATGAAAACATAGACTTCAGGTATGTATTTAGCAGAAATTGGCTAGTGTCAGGAGAGTATGTAAGCACTTGAATGGGCAGCAAATAGAAAGAGCTTTACAGTGTTGACATTTTATTATGTGTCTGCTTCTGACAACATCGTGGTCTTCAGCCTCTGCCTGCAGCATATTACTAATGGTAAAAAATACCAGCCATTTGGGTACCACATGCCTGAGGAAACACATGGCTATGCACCAAATAGCTTGGTAGGAGCAGTACCTCACTGATATCAGTTGGCAGCAAAAGGTCCAAACTCAGTGTTAAGACAAGGTCCTTGAGCACCCAAGGCAAAAAAGCCAAGGTGTGAGTGACCCCATCATAAACGGTGAACTACTTTAGTAGCATAGATTGCAGGTCCAGCCCTTTCTGCACTCTCCCCTTCTTGCTGAAAAGCCCAAGGTGGCTGCCTCTTCTGCCAGCTCCTTAGCCCCGCACTGCCTGAGTTTTTCCTCCAATAAGGTATCTTTCCTCTCATAATGAAGCAGTTATGAACAAATATAACATTTGCTTTAAAATAAGTATGGCAAATTACAGTTTAAAGGTTCTGACCAAGGCTGTCACCATGATGATAACTTCCCTTCCTAGGTAATAGTGATGACGAGTCAGAAGAACTGCTAAATTACTGATTTGTGATTTATCTGAATATTTGAATGTTGCACTGTTTGAGCTGCAGAGAATGATGCTATGCAGGAATACTCTTGGTAATCATAATTCATTAATTGCATCATTCCCTGCATAAAAGACAAACCTGCATGCATGTATTTGGGAGAATAACTAAAATAGTTTGACAATTGGCTGGGATTGCAAAGTGATTTGCACTACTATTAAGACACCTGCCTGGTACAAGTGTAGTGTTGACACACACATTTTGAGCTGGCTACATGGTTGTTCCAGGTCATTGACTCACTAGGTAGTAAAGTAATGAGGAGAATATAAACCTTGGAGCCTGACGCTTTATAAATTGAAGATGTCAGGATATCTACAGTATCTGTTAAAACCTTTTGGCCGAAAGACTATGCAAGTGCCCACATTACCGCACAATCTGTTCATGGGTCATGTATCTATGCAGCAACAAGAGACTTCTTTACAGCTAATTATTACACCCTTAGGCTAGGTTCACACCTGCGTTCACACCTGCACTACACTGCACGTCACCCGGAACGCGCGTCCTGGGGCCGCAAAATGCTAGTGCACACAGCGATTGGCTCCATTGACTTCAATGGGGTGACATCTGCATGGCAATTTTGCGACACATGAGACGCTGATTTTTTTAGTGTTCACTTGCACAGGCAGAACCGCGGCAAAAAACTGTGCGATCTGCTCGGCACGACTGGGGTGCCATTAGAAAATAGAGGTACCCACAGCACGATCGGTTCACACCTTAGCGACTCCCGACTGCGCGGCAATCGTGCACAAAACCGCGCGGTCAGGAGTCGCCTAGGTGTGAACCTAGCCTTAACTATATATGACACAACAATTCTACAAGCAACAAATTGTTTTATTCTACTATCATATGTCTTACAGCAATGTAAAATAGCTAAAGTAATGTTAAATAAACCATGCACCTTAACTTTATTTTACCTATATAGGATATTTTATAGTGAGATATAGTTATGAAAAGGTTGAGCTACCCTAACTGATCTATCTTGCACCTCTGAAAACAACATACTATAGTAAGTCCCATATTTAATTGATGCATTTGCATGTGTTTTGGTGCATTCCAGAGCAGAAAAAATAGGGCATGCTGCAGTTCTTCCACATGCTCTGGAACTGAACGCTCTGGTGTGAACTAGAGCCCAAAATACGTATTGGAATACATTGGTCCATTCTGCTCTGCTCTGCATCTGCTCCGCGCTTGGTGTGAACTAGCCCTAAAGAAATGTAAAGCTGACTGGTTGTCATGTAGATCAGCATATCTTTATTTTTTCTCTGCCAGGTTATGATGTCATTAAGCATGATTGCTTATTTATAGTACAGCATTGCACAGGGGTTGTTAAATTAATGTAGAAACCTGGAATCAATAAGTCGAATCAAGGGGTATCTTTTTTTTCACTTTTGTTTTATTATAAATTAAACAGTTAACAGAGTAAATTATGTAACAATGTGTACAACAGGGTACTAAAAAACAAAACAACAAGCAATTGCATGTGGATGTATAACTATATATATATAGTATGGGGGAATTTATCAAAACTGGAGCAGAAAAAATCTGGAGGGGGATGGGGGAATGGGGGAAGTGATCAAAATCTGGAGCAGCTGTGCATGGAAACCAATCAGTCTCTCTCTTTCAGTTTCAAATTTTAACTAAACAAACTGAAGAGAGAAGCTGACTGGTTGCCGTGCACAACTGCTCCAGATTTTGTCTGCTCCAGTGTTGATAAATTAAATTACCAACAGTATTGGGCGCCTGCCTTTACATGCACATGAACTTTAATGGCATCCCAGTCTTAGTCCGTAGGATTCAATGCTGAGTTGGCCCACTCTTTGCTGCTATAATGCTATAACAGCTTCATCTCTTCTGGGAAGGTTTTCCACAAGGTTTAGGAGTGTGTCTATGGGAATGCTTGACCATTCTTCCAGAAGCGCAATTGTGAGGTCAGGTACTGATGTTGGCGAAAAGGCCTGGCTCGCAGTCTCCGCTCTAATTCATCACAAAGATGATCTACCGGGTTGAGGTCAGGACTCTTTGCAGGCCAATGAAGTTCCTCCACCCAAAACCCGCTCATCCATGTCTTTATGGAACTTGCTTTGTGCATTGGTGCGCAGTCATGTTGGAACAGAAAGGGGCCATCCCCAAACTGTTTCAACAAAACTGGGAGCATGTAATTGTCCAAAACGTCTTAGTATACTGATGCCTTAAGAGTTCCCTTCAGCTGGAACTAAGGGGCCAAGCCCAACCCCTGAAAAATAACCCAACACCATTATGCCCCCTCCACCAAACTTCACACTTGGCACAATGCAATCAGGCAAGTACCGTTCTCCTGGCAACCGCCAAACCCAGACACGTCCATCGGATTGCCAGACAGAGAAGCGTGATTGGTCACTTCAGAGACCATGTCTTCACTTCTCTAGAGTCCAGTGGTGGCGTGCTTTACACCACTTCATCCAACGCTTTGTATTACACTTGGTGATGCAGCTGCTTGGACATGGAAACCCATTCCATGAAGCTCTCTATGCACTGTTGTTGTGCCAATCTGAAGGCCACACAAAGTTTGGAGGTCTGTAGCTATTGACTCTGCAGACAGTTGGCGACTTCTGCGCACTGTTCTCTTCAGCGTGACCCTGCTCTGTCATTTTACATGGCCTACCAGTTCGTGGCTGAGTTGCTGTTGTTCCCAATTGCTTCCACTTTGTTATAATACCACTAACAGTTGACCGTGGAATATTTAGTAGCAAGGAAATTTCACGGAACACCTGAATCCAATGATGTGGAATACTTTTGGCAATATAGTGTGTGTGTGTGTGTATATATATATATATAACCCCCAGCAACATTAATGGCTGGTAGCCTTTATATGTTGTCTTAGCTGTGAGCTGCCTTATGCAGGAGATGTTGCTGGGAGGAATCACAGGAAATCCTAGAACCACTGGGAGCTGACATATCCCATGATCATACAGTGGGGTTGAGCTGGGAACTCCAGCATTGATATTTTACCTCCCAGAGTCTCCAGAAATATGTAAGAATCCAGTGTACATTTCCATCAACATCAAGGCATAACTGAATGATCAGTTTAAGGTGAACTTTTCCAGTAAAATGTTGTCCTTTACCAGGACAGGTGTCACCTTATATGCAACATCAATTGCCATTAAAAAAAAAATAAGCATATATTAGCTCCCACAGAACTATGTTGTCTATTAAGTATACTTTCTTGTAAATATGAGTAAAAGTTATCTGTATTTGCTTTGAACATTTCCATAGAAGCAAGCTGCAAACTGTGTCAGGTGTTGCTAATTACAATTTTCTGCTATGTGCATTTATATATTGGCTTTGAACTGTGATTATTCATGTCATGTAAACCAGTGACAATCTCTCATAATTTATCTTCTGTTACTATGATAAGCAAATCATTCTTAAGAAATTAGCTATTAGCGAGTAATTATCTCCTCTGAAAATGAGCATAGTGTGTAACGCCAGTTAGTATTTAAATTTGTGATTCAAAATGTGATTTCCATTTCGTTCTTCATGTTTTACTCCATTTTCTGATTTCAAGTATAATAGCTGTAATATGTAGACTGTTCAATAAAATGAGCTTGTAAGGTCAACAGTCTTAGCATTAAAATCAATTTGTTTGCTTGGATTGTACATAAATTCAAAGAGCCATGAAGTATAAACAGAATACAAGACTCCTTGGATGCATTCCAATATAATTATAGCTTTTCACCCTTGTGACTCTCTATGTGAGTAGCTTACAGCTATTTGCTTGCCCTTCGATAGCAGTACTTTTGTAAAAGACAGTATCTGATTGAAATGCAAAAGAAAACCCACCACAAACCTGGAAGGGATTTTAACCAGCCTCAGAAATCATAAGAACCGAATGTAATAACTGAATTTGTAGCATTCAGTAACTGTGAACACAAGCTGTATGTCTGTTGGATTTTATACTGCTGTATCCCTGAAGGTTTTTCTTATAGGTATGCCAAAATTCTAACTATAAAACAAACCCCAGAACATTATCC